TATTTTGTATAGGCATTGAAATGGGTAACTGTACAGGACAAAGATTATTATATTCCTCATTTAAAACTTGACTTGATATGTTTCAGAAGAATCTGAATGTATTATTCACAGCACTACCCAAATAATCCCAATTCAGGAGAAGCCCCGATTGTGACAGCCAAGCAAGATGCTAATGATCAGCAAATCATTAATCCGATGAAGATGATTAATCTCGAATGTGACGGACGGGTAACATCTGCATGAAGTGCTCTGTGTTGATGATACTGTTCGCATCATCGGTGAGCAACACTTGACCTTTCACTACTCCTGTGAAATCAACATGATTTCCTCCCTTGTATTCAGAGTGGCTTAGTTAATGCTGACCAACCCAAGTACAGTTTTGGGTGTACATTTGTCAAACAATAGGCCCCAACTATACTGATGGAGGAGAAAAATCATGTTTGACTTGGAGTTAACTGATCAAATTGGCCAATAGGGCAGGGATATCCTCAGGCTACCACACCCCTTTTGTTATTCCAGGAAGACTTATTTCCTCTATCTGATGAACAAACGAATGCTCGTCTAACACGGTGTGCTGTAGCTCTGACTTCACGGGTTTTTACCTTAGCACAGTGTGGGGTCCATCTGAAGCAAGGATATACAGACTAATAGGTTTTAGTTTTGTGCCAACAGAAAACCACCACTAGTGTGATTCTGATGAAATGCCCAATGTTTCTTTTATATTTGTTCTCATGGGGCTCCTGGACCTTTGATTGTGGTCCCCCCTAGTCAGTGTGTTGGGCCGACCTTATTTATTAATGTTTGTCTGTGTGTGTGTGTGTGTGTGTGTGTGTGTGTGTGTGTGTGTGTGTGTGTATATTTTCTGTGCGTGTACAACTACTGTGTATGTATATATTTAAGTACTGTATATGGGTCATTCCTGAATTTTTGGTATCTAAATTCTTGAAAAATAAACATTTCCTTTTCCGATTTATACATACTGTATATTTCCGAATATTTTTATTGTCAGTACATGAGTGATTTGTTTTTTACAATACATTTCAGTGTAATCACAGTAACATGGTTGCAGGGTCCAGAGTGACATAGTTTATAAAAAGGATGAATGCCGTTTCTCTCAGGAGTAGAGGCTGGCTTTTTAGCTAGCTGTTACTGTTACTAAAAGACAAAAACTTTCAATCAGTCAAGGCTAACTATTTAATATTAAAAAAAATAGAAGAGAGGACATATCTTTGCTTGATCCGTTCTTTTGGAAACTGATGATGTCAAGTGCAGCGTATCATGTGATTGACTGCTGTCCCCTACTTCTACTATGTTAAAAGTTATGGTAACAGTGTTGCGTGCATGTTGTGGGACACCCATGAATATTAATTCTTATGTGAATTATTATGTTAATTAAAACAAATGTTCCCACAGTTACAAGAGACAGCAATGAAACAAATATATTTTTTTAAAAATCATTTTAACAGTTTTATTTGAGATTCAATTGGGGGGGGGGAGAGCAAGAGAAAATTTGCATTTTAGAGAGTAGTCCAGAGTTATTTGGTATTTTAGATTCGTATTTATATGTGGTCCCAGGACAAGTAAATTTACTCAGAAACTGTATGTTTCAGTATTTTGTATGTGGATGATTTAAAATTTGATGGGCGGAATTTAAAATGTCCTCCAATTCTTTAATGACCCATATTGCAATGAAACACTTTATTTCCCCCCTCACCCCTACCCCAATTTTGCTGCTGTAGATTGCAAATTTCCCCAGTGTGGGACAAATAAAGATTATCTTATCTTATCTTATATTTGCAAGATGACTGTAAGGTGTAATCGACTGTTGATATGAGAGATGCAGTGTAAATTGCCTCACCTGTCTGCGGGAAGCAGCAGTGGTGCTGCTGGAGGAGCTTGCACTGATCATCCGTCCTTCCACTTTACAAGTTCCTCTCCTCCACTTGCTGGTGCTGTCTTTGGGGTCCGCAGGCAACGGATTTAAGAAAAGTATCCTGGCGATGAGTCCATACAGAACTGTGGCCAGCATGAGGGGCAATACGTAAAACACTGCAAAATCTATGAAGTAAATGGGCAGATATTGACTCCTGGATACTTTGTAGGCGCAGCTGATGAGCACGACGTTGTCGTATACCAAAGTTTGAGTGGCTGACAAAAAGAGCCACATGATGCAATAGATGGACGTAAGCGCCCACACCAGCATGATGATCTTTTTCGCCCGCGATAAAGTGCACAGGAACTGCGCCTTGATCGGGTGGCAGATGGCGATGTATCGCTCCACCGTGAATGCTGTGATGGAACAAGAGGACGCGTTAATCCCCAAATATTGGAGATAAGTGATCCCCAGGCAGCCTGCGTATCCGTACACCCACTGCCCATGCAGGGCGTCGGTAATGTTCGGAAGCCCGGCAGCAGTAAGCACCATCAAGTCGGCTGCAGCCAAGCTCACGAGATAACAGTTCGTGGGAGTTCGCATGTGTTTGGTGGTCAGCACCACCAAGATGACCATGATGTTGCCCACCATCCCCAGCCCGCAAATGAGGGACACCAAAAACACACTGACCGCCTTGTACCCCAGCGCGTAGTCGCGCCACACACCCAAGGTGTGATTGTGCTGCGCCGAAGACGTGTCATTGTCCGCCGTCATGTTGTCTGTGGTCAAGTTTTCCATGACGGGCTTCTTGCAAAAAAAAAAAAAAAAGAAAAGAAAAAATGAACAGCAACAACTCTATACCCTCAGTGGAATAATCTACGAGTCCCAGGCATCAAAAATCAAACTTCAAAATGTTATGCACCCGTAATTGTACAAAAACTTCAAAAACCTCAAACGATACAAATGTCCTTCTCTTTTCCATGATTCATTTTTCCTCGTTTGGGGCAGAGGCTCGCTTGCAGACTGAAGTTATCAGAGTGGCGAGCTCCTGCTGCCTCTGCACACGCCCGCACGCAAGTGAGAAGGGAGGAAATGGCAACCTCTGTGCACCAGGGTTAACACCACGGATAACAGTGGGAAAGCAACGCGGTTGGAATGTGAATGCATCCGAAACATGATACTTATTAGTAATTCATTATTCTTCGTAGACAAGCATACCCCTTTGCAAATTAGCTTTCAGTGGATGGATGGTCACATACCAGGAGGTAATTTTTCTTTTTCTTCCTATTTTTCACTACAGTCAGTAATTGTACAATAAGCATTGTAGCATTGTACAATAAACTGCTCAAATTAACATCCCTGGTTCCTCTTATTATGGAGTATTCAATATGCAATGCAACCCCCCCCCCCCTGTAAAATGTTTGACTTTCAAAAGTTTATTCCAATTAGTTTTAAAAATCACATCGATAAATGAATGAATATGTTGCAAATTTAAGTTAGCTGGTATTATTTACAACAGTACATGCAAGGTTTGAAGTGATACTTTGACAATCCAAGCACATATGTGAGAAAAAAAAATAACAACTGAAAAATGAAACAAAAATAGAGAAGGGAGATGTCTATTAGTATAGAGAGTAAGGGACAGTATACTTTACCATTGGTTGGCAAGCTTTTCTGGTTATTTTTAGAACAGTCCCACAGCATCCAAAAGCTTTTGGAACGCTGGCCAGATCAGATCCAGCCTCGGGGGCCTTGCCACAAAGTAGGTTTTTAACCACCTCGGTGACCTTAATCGCAAAGATAAGAGATCCCACCTCGGCAGACTCTGCTTCCTCTTGGGAAGACATGTAAGTGAAACTCAGGAGGTCTTCAAAGTATAATATTCTACCAATTCACAATGTCCCAAGTCGAGGTCAGCAGCACACCATCCTGACGATGCACAGTGTTGATTGTCCACCGCTTGCCCCTCCTGAGACGCCGGATGGTGGACCAACCTTTCTTCAAACACAGGGGACCCTCGTCTTGATGGAATTAGTCACCACTGGTCTCCACCAACAGGTTCGGAAATTTACGCCGTGATAAGCACCGACCACCTTAAGGCCACAACTCTGGTCAGTCGCCTTAATAATGGAAGTACACAACATGGTCCTCTGTGACTCATTGTCACCCCCCCCCCCCACCTCCTGGATGTGGGCAAAGTTCTGCGGAAGGTGGGAGTTGAAGCTTCTCCTGACAGGCGACACTGCTAGATGTTCCCAGGAGACCTTCACAATATCGTTGGGTATGTCTGGTTGGGACCAACCTCTTCTCCCATCATCGGGTCCAACACACCACCAGGTAGTGATCGGTTGACAGTCAGGACCATCTTCTTCGCCTGAGTGTCCAAGATATGCAGCCATAAGTCCAATAAAAGGACAGCAAAATCCATTATCAAAGTGTGGCCTAGGGTGTCCTTATGCCTGAACATGGTGTTTTTTTAGACAATCCATGACAAGCACAGAAGTCCAATAACTGGTTCTGAATGGAAGGGATGGGGGAGGGGATCGCATTCCTTCAAACCACGGCCATCCAGGTCTTACTCACTGCATTGCACATTTGAGCAATAACATGCGTCCCCCAGAGGGGTACTCTCCATCACTCCCACCAAGGACACATTTATATTTTTTGAAGTATAAGCCACAAACATCACTGTCAGGTGGCATTCTGGAAAGAGTGATTTTGTTTCTCGTGTCCTTAGTAGTAGTAATCACACAGAAGATCAGGAGACAACACACAGGAACTGCTGCCTGTGGTTATTTACCATAACATTGGTGCTAATTTTAATGAGCAAGTTTGCCTTTTACTGTATAATATGACTGCAATTGGCTCGCAACCGGTTCAGGGTGTCCTTCGCCTACTGCCCGAAGACGGCTGGGATAGGCTCCAGCACCCCCCGCGACCCTTGTGAGGATAAAGCAGATCGGAAAATGGATGGATGGATGTATAATATGATCTAGCTTTCATCAATTGTTTTACATGCCAGTTTTGCACAGAGCAACAATTTGAAGTGACAAATAAACAACTTTAAGTCAAGACTTTTTACCTTTTAATTGTAGAAATGGTTTGTAAAGTATTGTAACCTAACATATACTTGTGAATGTACAGTAGATCAATGAGAACATGTGAAGTTCATTCCCTTGCATGTTGCAGCACTGTAAAACTGACTTCTGATGACTACTACTGTATGACTATGGTGCACACACTGGAGATATATACATTATTGACAACTTCGATATAAGTCATGCTAGGCAGTGCTTACTATGGGGTCTGCAATGTAGTCTTGCTGTTGTCAATTTACCGAGCACTCAAATGCCTGCCTGAAGTCTCTGTGTACTTCTCCATCCCTACAGATTGTAAAAGTCCACTAAAAACTTCTTGCAGCACAATCTAAATATTTACAACGTACCAGCGGAGCAGCCAACTACTGTGGTCGAACGCATGGTATTGTGGGACATGTTACTATTTTTGGCACAAAGGTGGAACCTCTCCAAGAGAGTCTGGCTGCAGACATGCCCTGTCAGACCACATGCACTGTCAAATCCTGATGCACTGTCAGACAGGAAGTGGTTGGAAAGATTTCAAAACACCGACATCTGGACATAATGAAAATGTTCATTACTGGTGCTTATTAATTGTACTTCTTTTGTCTTTTGTAACCATTAGGCTGCATAAACTCCTCTCTGTTAGTTAATTTATTTATATATAAATTTTATATGTACATTTTGGCAACTACATAAATGATTACAAAAACACAGTGTCTTAATGTGTTTGCTAGTTGAGACGATTTTGGCTACTACATAAATGATTCAAAAAAAAAAAAAACACAAAAAACACCGCATCTCCTCTAAATGTGTCTGTTAGATGCATTTTGCACTGCAGTTTGTTATATTGACATTGACACCGGATTGATCCATAGCTTGCAAAGTGCATAATGCTGGAGTATTAATGAAATTACTGCATATGAAAGGTGAGATTCTTGTCTGTGGTATTTCACGTTGGAGGTCCATCATCATTCTGCATGGTCAATGATTACGAAAATGGTCCTCTGTGCTCTTACTAAACATTGTGAACGACAAGACCCTTATGAAAAGTTACATTCAAAATGTTTAATGCATTCTAGCATTTATTTATTTTTGTATCCATTTTACTATCAGTGTACTCGAGGTATCTCCCAATATCAACAATATCTGCTCACAAAAAAGTGAAGCAGTCTTCTGTCAAAGAGAAAATTTTACTTTTGCCAAAATCAGCTCTTTTTCATCTTCATCCAATTTCTCTTTTGGCTTCGATAACTTGGGGAGCTGATCCACAGTGTCAGTATGTTCCTCTTTGGCCAAAAATATGATGATGGTTTCTTTGGAACCAGCTGCTTTTTTTTTTTTTTTACCGGTCGTCAATTGCTTTCGACTTCAGTGGTTTAGATGTTCAAAAAAAAAAAAAAAAAGAACAACATGACTATCCAATAGAAAAGTCTGCAATTCTGGCCAAGTTGCTCAGCACCTACTGCATCATCTGTTGCAAATCCATCGTTATCACAGCTGGGTAGATTGAATAGAAAATGCTGTGATTGTTGTTGCTCCTCTTCTCAAAAAAAAAAAAAAAATCAAATCAACCAATTTTTAAGTCAATAGCATACGAGTTGTAAAGAACTTGTCCCTTAAAATTGCCATGCTAACGATGTTTTTTGTTTGTTTTTTTTCCCGCCACAATGAGAGACTTGTCAGTGAAAAGAAACATTGTTATGAGAGTGGGCTTAAAAAACAACGAAAATATTGAATTCCTTTGAAACCAATCTTAGACATGTTTTTCCAGCTGGTGCTTCTTAAATATGAACACTGCAGCCACCTCACTTTGCAGCAATGTCCTTGAAGCCTTCGTTGAGTGTGCAAAGAAAATTCCCATCGCAAAAAATAAGACATTCAATAAAGACAAGTAATTATACAACTTATTGCAACAAAGATAATATTTCAACATTTTTGAGTCAAACAAAGTATGCAGTTGTACAGTCCCAACCTGCCAAGATAAAAATTTTCCATAGTGAGGAAATGCAGTCCGGGAAGATGGTTGGATGGTGAGTATACACCACCATTTCCTCAATAATGGCAGGGCAATTTTAAGAAAAACAAACCAAAAATGATCAGCATATACAACTGCACCAAGGCGTGACCTCAACCTCAGTAAATGGCTTTGTGAGACAGGCTATCTTGTCCAACATCCATGACCTTTGACCACCTACATTTTGTCCATTTACCACTCCTTGGTAAATGGACAAACATATCCGACTAACTGCCTTCAAATCTTGTAGAAACATCTCCCAAGGGGAGTGGCTCAAACCAGCTCCATATTGTCTTTAATTTTATTCATAATGTTGAATTATGTTTGATACTTTGTTCGATTGCATGTGAGCCATGGGAGAAGTTGTACATCAAACCTGTTTTAGTTTAAGGACTGGATATCTGTTGAAAAAAGCTTCCCTACTTGTGTTTAGACTGACAGCACTTCCCTACTGCTTACATTAATAGCATCGATATACTCTCAAAATTACTTGGCAGACCTGCAGCCTGTCACTGGTGATTTGTGTGTTCCCCCATAACACTGTAACAACTGATGAGCTGTATTTGTCCTGCAACATATCAAACACTTCATTTAACCATCCTCTAGTGCTTCAATCAGCACAGTAACGATCAACAGAGGAGTAACCGTAAATAAAAACGCTAAGACAGTTAATGTAATATGTGTGGGACACCGGTTTCATGTCTGTAAGTAGTTTGAGATTAGAAGAGCACAAAAACAACATAGGATCCAATGGTGAGAGAGAGAGAGAGAGAGAGAGAGAGAGAGAGAGAGAGAGAGAGAGAGAGAGAGAGAGAGAGAGAGAGAGAGAGAGAGAGAGAGAACATTTAAGGCATAAAACGTCTTTGAGTCATCTCTTTCTAGGAGCAATTATAGCGGGTCTATATTGCCATCTCCTGGTGACTTTTTGTTATGATGAGGGTGGTTATTTGTTCAATGACATT